CGGTTTACTCAAACGATTGCCCAGAAGCGATCGACGAAGCCGACTTTATTGCCGCCTTGCCAGCCGTTGCGCACCGTTGCGCACGGCACCAAGTCGGCAACATCATTGAGTTGGGCCTCGAGAATTGCCACTCGATTTTGAAGCAATGGACTACGCCCCGCAGCAGCACCGACGCGCCATGCGTATGGAGAGCTGCGCTCTTCGCTGCGCCCAGGGTGCTGGCCTCTACGCCCACGGTGGTCTACGCCCACGGTGGTCTACGCCATGCGCTGCCAGCTCGCGGCCGCGTGCCTGCTCCTCGCCTCCTCGGCGGCGCCGACCGACCTGACATTGGACGGCGTCGTCTACGTCTCGCGCCACGGCGTGCGCGCGCCCTACGGGCCCATCGTCGACGCGGCAGGCACGGCGGCGGCCAACGACGACTGGAGCGCCTGGACGAGCAAGGCGGCGAAGAACGCGGAGGACTACGGCATGGACGCCGACGCCTTCGCCGCGCAGGAGCTCACGCCCCACGGCATGGCGCTCATGCCGCTCCTGGGGTCCTACGTCGCCGACCGCTGGCGGGCGCTCGGCCTCGACGTCGGTGGCGACTGGGCGGTCTTCGCCGACGACTCGACGCGCGACTGGCAGACGGCGGCGCTCTGGCTCGAGGGCGCGGGCCGCGGGGACGTGCCCGTGCGCGTCGGCAACGCGTCGCTCCCGAACCTGATCCCCGTGCTCAGCGACAGCGTGCTCTACGGCGCGGGCGCGGACGCGACGGAGGAGCAGACCCTGGGCCTCTTCGGCGGCGACGTCGCCGCGCTGACGGCGGCCTACGAGGACGACATGGCCGACATCGGCCGCGCGCTCGGCTTCGCCGACGACGCGCCGATCTGCGCCGCGCTCGGCGTCGCGGACGACTGCGCCATCGCCAACTTGCCCTACAAGTTCACGGGGATCTACTGGCAGGGCATGTTCACCTGCCCCCTGTACTACGCCCAGTTCTTCGCCGAGGCCTGGATGTTCGAGTACCTCAGCGGCGTCGACGACTTCGCGTTCGGCGCTCTGACGGGCAGCGAGGTCGCCAAGCTCTACGAGTCGCACATCGCGATGATGGCCTTCGCAACGAACCACGGAACGCC